TTATTCTCTAGACCTGTGAGAGAGGATCAAGTCTATGAACAAATACGGAGGCACATTACGACACAGATAAGCTGAAGAGACACCCTCCCAAGAAAAGCACTACGAACAATGTCGTGCCACAGAGGGCTAATAATCTATAAATATACGCTGCAGATGGCTTCTTTTTTAATGTTCCGATAACCAGCTTTATGGGGCAAGCTGACAGTGAATTCAACCGCTAAATGCTGCTGTAAGGTCAAGAAACTTCGAGGCAAAATCCAAAAAAATAGCTGCAGTGTACGTTATTCGAACAGCTCGACTACGCACCCGTCGTGCCTATTCAAGATAAATTTTTCATAAAAGTTGCTAGCAAAAAGTAACTATATATTCCACGTTCCCGCCATATACTGGTAACGTGTTACGCAAGCCTGAAAAGAATGACAAGAGCAAAGACTCCTTCTGGCATCAGGGGAGAGTTCTTTCTGCTCAAAGGACATCTGAGTGGTTGTGTCGAAACTCAATCTGTTCGAGTAGATCTGCCGATTGCATCTACTATCTCCGTGAGCAGGATAGCGGCGCCTTGATCGTGCGAAGCGCACCTTTTCGCACTAGCGATATACGTGCCGCGTGCATTGCAGCAGCAACAGCGATGGCTATCGCCCGTTTGGCAAATGTGTTTCCAGGCTGACCCACATTGGCGCCGACACGTGCGATTGCGAAGCTCTCTTCCTCGCATACATTTGTGCCTGAGCGCTTTTTGATGTGCAGAGAGTTTGTTCGTATTTTTCAATTTTATCTTCCTCCATACTTTTAGAGGCTGGCGTCGCAAGCGATGAAGGTTGCTCAATTTCGGGAAGCCTCGACAGGGAAATGGGTATTGGTGTTATGTATGCGCTCGCCGTGCGGGCAAATTCCCATACGAATCGAAAAACAACACTCCTGTACTCTTTGTGCTCATACGCTTTCTCGGGCAATTGGAGAATGTTCTCGTAAACGCAAAATCCTCAACTCTTATCTCTATCATTTTTTTGTGTGATGTCCGCAAGTCACGTTGCTCTGGATTCGCATGGGCGCACATTCCCTGGCACGATCATTTAGCTCCATTTTCACGACAGATAAGCTTCACCATGTGAACTGTGTGGAGTCAAATGTTGCGCCAGGGTTGGAAGCCGTATCTCCTCTTTGGTGTGCTCGACACTCTTAAAATGCCCCTAAACCACGCCTAGTTCAAAGACGAGAGGGTGATTCCTTCCTCGTCCTCACTACATTTTCTACAAATATGACCTCCTCCCCTCCACCTATGTCTTCATAAAACAGGCGGGCGACATCAGCAATAATCGTTGAGACGATCGGTATTTCGCGTTTTTCCACTATACGCGCTGCTATTTCTGATTGCGCAGTCGAAAACGCCCGAAGCAACGTGAAATCAGCTGTTGAAATCGACCGCAGGGCAAAGCATGGTGGGAGGCAATTCACAACTGGTACTCCTCGTGAATGCACAAATCGAAAGCTTATTTTCTCATGATGTCGCGTGAACTGACTGCTGTCGTCAGGAATTGCACCGAGAAGACGGGAAGCGCAGCGCTGAGAATAACGCGCTTGTCTTTTGTATCTTCAACGGTTGTTTAGGGGACCTTTAAGTGCTAAGAGACTCGACCGTCCGTCACTAGCTCCTTGCACAAAACACACGCATACACCGCACGCACTAGTTACACCGGTGGCTCAACTTCGTCAAGCATTACTCGCATGGTGCGGGCATTCATTGCAGTAAAGCATGACGCAATCAACTTTCACGTGTCGCGCTAACAAAGTCCCAGCTTAACATGCATGCAGTACACCGTTCCGATGTTAACTAGTATACTCGTGTGTCACCTCTGAATGAGCACATAAACGCCCCGCCGAGGTGGTCTAGTGGCTAAGGCCCTCGGCTGCTAACCCCGCAGGTGGCGGGATCAAATCTCTGCTTCGGCGGCTGCATTTTCGATGGAGGCCAAAATGCTGTAGGCCCGGGTGATCAGATTTGTGTGCACGTTAAAGAACCCCAGGTGGTAGAAATTTCTGGAGCCCTCCACTACGGCGTCTTTCGTGTTCATATGGTGATTTTAGCACGTTAAACACCACGTATTAATCAATCAAGCACAGGAATGTGTCGCACACTATACAACTCCACAACGGCTTTCCGGAGCCTATAATCGGCTTTGCAACGCCGAACATGTGAGCAGTAGCTGTTTGAAATTGGTAATTAAAAAGAAAAGCTTCACTGTGTTGCTCATTAGAAGGATGCTATATGTCTTGTGTCATTGGCTCCTGCGGTACGGTAGAAGTTCTGGTAACGTCCTCGTTAGCGAAGCTGCCCTGTATGTTAATCAATCGCACAAACAGCTTCAATTGCTTTGTCTATTAGTGACCAAGATCATCAATGAAAAAGTAAAGGTAGATTAACACCGTTATTAAGACCTACAACAGTCGCTTTTGTTACACATTCTGTTGCAACACGTGAATTTACAGTTGAGTAGAACGGCACAAATCTGAGCTAGTTGGTAAGCATTTGTCATAGATAAGAAGAGATCAAGAAGTTATTCATCGAACGAGCCTAGGCTTATTTTCATCAGTTATCTTGACCTGCCGTTGGATCTGATTAATTGATATGTGGTGTTTAACGTTCCAAAATAATCATATGATTAAGAGAGACGCTGTTATGGAGGGCTCCGGAAATCTAGAGACTACCTGTGGTTCTTTAAAGTGCACCCAAATCTGAGCACCCGGGCCTACAGCCATCCGATCGGAGAACAGTTATACTTAGCAGCTCATATTAGCGATCGGTGATTATTCTCAAGACGTTATCTCTCGTAGCTCAAGATACTATTTAAACGCTACCACGAAGGACTAAGAGACGTTTCTCGCTCTCCCATTCCCGCATCACTGCAGCTTTTGTGCATGCACCTGTGAATAAGTATTCTGTGTCTCAGGCATGAGTGCCTTATGTGTTTAGCAGGTCGTCGCTAAGTGATACCTGTGTGTTTACATGAAACTCCACGTGAGAGTGAATGTTGATGACCCTCACTGTGCTTGTGATTAAAGCGTCAAAGGCTGTAGTACGAACTGAGCGCTAGCAGACTACGTTACCATATTCGCAAAAAGTTATACCAGTGAGGCATGAGCATTTGTGATCACCATCAGAGCCGATTCAGATCAGTCTTGATCCGGATCAAGTGTGGCAACGAGACAACTTTTGACCGCGATTCGGTCCGATAAAATGACCTGGCCCCTAAATCACGATTTAATTGACGTCTGCGCCTAACTCAATTCGGATAATTTTGAACCATGTAGCAGCCACTACCGCTGATCACGATAAACAAATCCCATCCGGATCTGCCCTGTCGCGATCGAAAGTGCCCATGTGACAACGGCATTAAGAACAGACGCGTTGTACAGATTCAAAGACAATACATTTTTTTAAGTATTTTCGACTGAGCTTATATTACTGACTGAAAATGTATACGCGGCACCTGGAAAAGAAAACTTAAAACACTGTCACAACAAGGGCTGAGCACGTAGTTATGAAAACAAGAGTGTGCGAATGGCGATGTGTGTCGAACAAACGCGCACCCCTGAAGGCGGCTTTCTGTCTTTTTATATCAGCGGCTGAAACTATTCCGCCGTATACGCTCCTCCCTACATACGAATATATTTTCAGTCATGAGAAGTGGTTCATGGCCACCGCACAACGGTAACATGACCATCGTTGTGAGTTCACTAGGAACAATGACCGCATGATAACCTTGAATATTCCTGCCAATGATCAAGCCGCTTACTGTATTCGCATGTGTATGCGGAAGCCAGGACTCTACACACGCATGCAAAGTCACTCCGCATTGTCCAAGCACCGCTTAATAATTGCCAGCGAGGCAACCATGCACTCCTCGTGCTGCAACGCTTCAAGTTGACCCATTTCCCCCCCTCTTGGAGCACGTTGCAGGGGGTAATCATTCGAGGCCATGGTCGTGTCAGATCGTGTAGGTAAGTGTGAGGCGGGGTGGCGACCGCCGCCGGCCTCCGTAGAGTTATCCGACCATCGGAGCCCTTGTAACACGAAGTACACTGCCCTGCTTTCCGGTTATGCAGAGGGGTGCCTTTTGTTTATCGATTGCGTGGGTCCACTGCACGTGCCGTCTGGGAAGCTGAACAAGTTGATCCGAGCTGTTGTGCCCAATAACAACGAGAGATTGAAGGTTGCGAGCTTGAGCTCATTTCGGCCCCAAATCATGCTTAGTTTGCAATCACTTTCAAGACAGCCACCCAGTTTACACCTAAACCACGTGAAAAAACAGCATAGGCCTACTGCGGTGTCCTAAACATATATGAATACATTGCACTTACCTTAACATATCACGCATAAAATGTTTGAACCATGCGCATATCACGCAAAGTATTCTTCTCCCTTCTCAATCTCATATTTTCGTCTTCAAATTTTTGCAGCCGTCGTTGCTGAAACACAGTCAATCAGTTCCTACATCTGGCTTCAGTTCAGTTGTGTGCGGACGCGGAATGATAAATGAAGTTGACAAGTGCGGTGGTTTGAGCAAGTTGACACACCTTCTAGACTTCGTATACGCAGCGCATGGTTATTTCATGGTCAAGAACGAAGTAAAGACGCGTACACGGAGCTCCGTATATACACACGCTTCCGCTCTCTTTCTGGTCCTTGTTTATTCTGAGATATCTTTTGTATATAAAGTTAAGGTCAAGTTGAATGCCGCTTCGAACCGAGGTCATGTATATGATACACACAGCTCAAGGTAACCTTCTACTCTAGTGAAATAAGTTTTTCTTTTCTTGCCTTACTTCTCTTCAAGTTAGTGTACTCATGCAAATGAAGCATCATCGCATGTAAGATAATGCGTTGATCACTCATATACACCAGAAAGCGGTTTGAGTAGATCTTTTTGAACATACGAAAAACCTAATGAAAGCCGTGGCGCTTGACACTCACTATAGCGACACGACGATAGCTCACTCACCTCAACCGCTTCCGGCTTGAAAAGCACGACGACCGGCTGGAAACCCAGGTAAGTCTTGAACACCCGCTCCCGCTCAAAGAAGTATGTCAGGCCCACGAGCAGGCTGAACAGCCCTGCCGCAAATAGAAAAGTACCAGTGGTATTGTGAAATGGTGCCGCTATACACTGGTGTTCTCAAACACACATACTAAGCGAAAACATTAGGTAGTGGTGCAGAGTGTATAAAAACACTTTTTTCAGCTGCTTGTGCACGGTAGCTTTAATGTCAGGGGAGGTTTCATCCACGACAGACGATGCGAATACTAAAATGGGTGGCTACACCTCCTTTGAGCTCCAACATCACGTCCGTCAAACGATACGTTATCATTAAAGCGGTGTAATTAGTTTTATTTAAGAAAATATCAGCGCCTGTAGGTTCAGCTGGCTACATCCTCTCCGAGACCTTGAGAACCTTTTCAACATCTTTTCAGCGCTTATTTTGCGGGAATAAAGATACAGCTATATTTTATTTAAAATAAAAAATAAAGTGGAATTTTATCACGGGTTCAAACCACATTGTGATTCTGAGGCAAACCGTACTGAGGATCACCGGATTAATTTTGACCACTAGGGTCCAGCCAGGTGACGTTAAGTTTCCTCATGTCTATCGTTGACCAAATAAAGTTGTTTCACTCATTCACCACGAGGGGTCATAAGTCTATAGGCACCCTAGCGATTTTGCATCTCAACCCCATCGAAATGCGGTCGTTATAGCGGCCGAACCCGTGTTTTCGTGATTGGCAGTGTGAGCCTATAGCAGCTAAACAACCACCTTGGGTGCAGTGGAAAGAGAATTGGGACACAGCTTTGCAACCAGACTGACCACCTTGGTGAGAAACTATGGCGTCACAGTGATGCCATCGCGGATGTACTTTCGGGTCCAGAATGCACGATGGACACGTTTGGTCTTTTTGTTTTTAGTCCTGGTGAAGTTTCTTGTTGAAACATATGTAGATGAAATTCGGTAATAAAAGTATGTTATGGTACGCATGTATTTGTTCTTGCTCTGTGAAGATTATTTAGGTTTTAAATGTAATATTTGTCAGAGTTGAATGCAAATGTAAGATCGTTTATTTCACAAGTTTCATACTGGCTGGTCACTATATCGTCAGATTAGTCAACGAATACATCATTCAATGAACGAATGAACAAATAAATAAATAAATTTAATATCAATAAAAATATTATTATTATGAAATCAATACTAATTCTCAAAACAAACTCTGCGTCGTGAAGAACTAACGCCATGCTGGCTATCAGCCTGACAATGTTCTTTCCTCACTGCAGTGACCTGACAGGTAGAAAGAACACATGCGGCATAATTTCTAAGGTAAAAAAATTGCGCTGATTGAGTGCACTTGCTTTCAATTGTGTATGTGTGTGTGTGTGTGTGTGTGTGTGTGTGCGTGTGTGTGTGTGCGTGTGCGTGTGTGTGCGTGTGTGTGCGTGCGTGTGTGTGCGTGTGTGTGTGTGCGTGTGCGTGTGTGTGCGTGCGTGTGTGTGCGTGTGTGTGCGTGCGTGTGTGTGTGTGCGTGTGTGTGTGTGTGCGTGTGTGCGTGTGTGTGTGTGTGTGTGTGTGTGCGTGTGTGTGTTAACGAACACAACACATCTCCGGCTCGAGCAAATACTCATCTGAATAGAGCAAACTTTGACTGGAACTTCCGACTAGAGCAAAAAATTTCTTCATTTTTTTTGTTTTGAAGAAATATTTTTTGTTGACTTACCGTACTTCTACCTGAACGTGTGTAATGTAATGTATGCACTTGTAGCGAGGGGAAGGTGGCAGTTTTACTGCTTTAAAAGAAAGGTATAGGCCTCAGCAACTATGGTGAAGTCCACCTTTCTGCCTCTCAACAGTTACAAAACAGCAACAGCAATCAGGTCACATCATACCAGGCAAGTCACAATTGGCTGCGCAATAGTGCGACATCGCGCTTTTTAACTATCGTGCTTCAAGTACCTCCTCATTCATTATGTGTTACTGGTACACTCCCAAGCTTATGCTGATGGCAAACTAATCATACACAGCGATGATCAAATAATTATTGGTGTGCGGTACCAATCAAATCAAGGCAATAGGCAATGAAACTGAGAAAAACGAAAAAAAAATTTACAAACTGAGTTCAAATTCGCGAGGCAGCTCTCGCATTATACGTTATACAATTCAAGAAAACAGTTGGCAGTCAGCCGCGATGCTGCCCCGTCGCGGTGGTCTAGTGGCTATAAGGTGCTCGACGGCTGACCCGCAGGTCACGGGATCAAATCCCCGCTGCAGGTGCTGCATTTTCTATGGAGGTTAAAATGCTGTAGACCCATGTGCTCAGATTTGGGTGCACGTTAAATAACCTATGGTGGTTTTGGGATGTTAAACCCCACATATCATCATCATCATCATCATCATCATCATCAATTGCGATGCTGGAACGGCTGAGTTCGTGATTAGCGAGCGTAGCCGGTCAATGGTGAGATAAATCGTTAAAGGAAACCTTTGCGAATGCTGTATGCCTTAGTTACCTTAGCGTTCAACTGCACAAATGATTAAAAAAAGTGGTTATATTTTTGACAATATTCTGGTCAAATTATACTTGAACACAATATTTTTGACAATATTTGACCCCGCACCTCCACCACGTATGACCTCTTGGTTGAGACAGCGTTTATTCAGCCCAAGGGCTCAGCAGCGAATGGCCAGCAGCGAGACCGAGCGTGCACACCGATGATGATTGTGGTGACACCCAGTGAAGATGAGGACAGAGGCCCAGGCGGATGATGATGATTATGGTAATGCATAAATGAAAAGAAGCGCATGACGAATGCCCACAAAATTTACATTCACATTAAACAATACAGCAATTGGTATCAGAACACCTTTTTTTGTAAGAACACAGGTGGTTTCACAAAAACAAAATGTTCTAGAAGCGTGCGAAAACGAATAAACTCGATAAATTTGACAACTTTTGTTTACGAATAGTCGTTGCTTTGTTATCGCACGGCAATACGTTGCGCTGAATGAAATTATATAGCAAACTTTACGTCTCACTGCTGCATTCTGCATTCCCAGAGACATATCCTGTGTGAGGACTCTAGATTTTATGGTTCTGGCCATTTGAAGTAACTCGTGAAGCACCTAAAAGTAAACTACACGATCTTTCCTTTGTACTCCGGCCTTGTGGCCGTTATTCGAGGCCACGACGTGCGATCAGGTGACATACGCGGCTATGTTTGCAAAGCTACAATGGTAAATCCGCTATGCAAACACATGTTTCTCTTTATTCAAGTGAATAAAACAAGTAAAAAAAATCTAGTAAAAAAATAAACATATCCCACATTTTTCTGTAGCCTGTTCGCGTTCAACAGAGTGGTCGTTTGCTTGCTTGTATTCTTTCCGTTTTTTTTTTCTAATTTCAAACGAACAGTGACTATTTAGTTTGGTTAGGGTTATGCAATTTCTGTCCTTTTTTTTGTCAGGAGATTTTCCGCGTTGCACTGTTTCGTGACCGTGGTCCATCTAATAAAGCCAAAGGAAAAATAAAGTCGAGTTAAACGTAATTTTTTAAATGTTGTTGATATGATGAATAGGAGAGGATCAGTCTTTAGGACGGCATCAGCTACTTCTTGTCACTTGACAAAAAAAATGTGAAAAAATATGTTCCAAATTATGACACTCAGTAAAACACCAGACATGTAAACGCAATATAATCTAACAGTGCGTGAGTAAGAAAGCTTCGAGCATAAGTTCCGGTAAGGAAATGAGTTCAAATGTACATGCATAGAATAAAATATTCTGTATTGCCTGTAACGCCAAGCAAAACACCGAACACAAGTGATAACATAAACCGTAAAAAAATACCAGATGTCAACGCAACAGAGTTCTGTGAACATAACAGCATGCATATCAGTCGTTTGGATTTAAGGTCGATACAGTAAAGTTTACACTCCCAAAAATATTTGTTCGAAAACTTCCTCTTCAAGAGACAAGCTCTTTTTTTCTGTGAGCCCACTATATATTGGCCACAAATTGGCCATCTATTTTTTTTTTCAAAGAATGAATGGTTTTTCTTCTAAATGTGACTAATTTGCTCACAAAATGCCTCGTGGTGCATCACATCATAATTTGTGCACTCAGGGAGAGGACACGCATCTTAACCTGAGGGCCTCAAGTTCTAGCTCCACAAGTGTCATACGGCCCTATATTTCTGTTAAGAATTCATATCGTCTCATGGCAGTCGTACTTTGGTTTTTAAACCTTAGCTAAGAAGACAGAGTGTGTCTTCGTGCCATCTCCTTCAACGTGCTGTTTCGCGCGTTAGCATGGGGCGAATTTCATGGGTCCACAAGTGCTACCTTCACGTTTGGGCTTAGCGCGCAGTCTACGCTTCTCGCCCTCTGCTATCTCAATATATAACAGTGACATCTAATTTTCTCTTTTTTTTCACAGAGACGCTTAACTACCAGAACCAAGTGCCAGCGAGAAGATTTTCCTTCGATGGGATTGTTCCAAGCACGCCTGTGGTACAAAATAGTCTCCGGACAGAATTTTCGAGCAAGTTGGTAACCTTTTTGCAGTCATAAATTGGCTAAAAATTTGTCCGCGTGAGCTGAATCATTTGATTAACCACAGCGTGACCGAAAGAAGATAGCCTCTATCTCGCTATTTCTTCGAACAACTTCGCTTTTGTCCCCTGGACCACGAAGGACAGAGAGAACGAAGATCAGCCGTATTCCCGACAATTACCACACGAACAACGATCACGGGCCCCGCCGCGGTGGTCTAGTGGCTCAGGTACTCGGCTGCTGACCCACAGGTAGCGGGATCGAATCCCGGTAGCGGCGGCTGCATTTCGGATGGAGGGGGAAACGTTGTAGGCCCATGTGCTCAGATTTGGGTGCACATTAAAGAACCCCAGGTGGTCGAAATTTTCGGAGCCCTTCACTACGGCGTCTCTCATACTCATATAGTAGTTTTGGGACGTTACACCTCACATATCAAACAATCAACAACGATCACGGCAATTGCTTTCGTTTAAAGAGCGTATAAACCACCTCTGAAAATGCAAAGAACATGCGCGTTATT